AGTTTGAAAATAGCAAGTTTGAGTTTGATTTGAGTTTGAAATTAGTAAAAATTTAGAGTTTGAGTTTGGTTTGATTTTAAGTTTGATCAAACTTAAATCAAACCAAACTCAAACCTTGGAACCCTACTCTAAAGTAATATACTCTATTTACAACCCTAATATCTAGTATATTTAGTATATTTAGTCTGTATAGAAATTTATAATGAAGATTGTTCTTGTTAAGCAACAGACTTGACAAAAAACAAAATAGATTCTAAATAGAAGATAAGCTTTTATAATACAGTAATAAATATATTATATAAGAAGAAAAAAAAAAGTTTTATAACAAGTATTTATTAACCAAACTAAAAAAATATAATTCAAATTATAATTCCAAACAAACCAAGTTTTATTATATTATAGTATGTTTGTTAAATTTAATTGATTTTTTGTCTTCAAATTTAGGTTTAAACCAAAATTTATTATTGAATTTCTAAATATTGAATCCAAAAAAAAATTATTGGCAATTTATTTCTAATATTTGCATATTCTATTGACATACTTTCTACTTCTAACATATTTAATACTACTCAAATATTTTCTTTAAAAGTATTATTTTGATATACTAATTGGATTAAATATTATACAGACTTTTTACATATTTTTAATTTATCCCAAATCTAGATAAGCTTTGGCTACTTTAGTAAGTTTAGGCTGCAGATAAATATCTAAATTAACTTATGATTAGATTTATTAGATATTTAAGTTCTTATTTTTAGCACTAGACTTAAAATTTAAAACCTTATTATGTAAAAATTTTTAATAAAAATAATAGCAAGGCCTCACCTTAAATATTAAACATATATCTATATATTATTGGTATGGATCTAATCTATTTTTCTTATAGACTAACTCATCTTCCACTTTGATACATTTCATTAAACATATAAATTTATTATAATGGCACACCTTAACCTGAGAAGCATTGATTATTGTCTGAAAAACATTATTGTTTAAAAAACATTAAAAATAGAGCAATATTTGATATCTGTATTAACAAATTCTAAATTCTGATTGGATAGATTAGGTATAATATAAAAAAAACAATCAAAAAACAATAGAAAACTAATACTTATTGGCTAGATCAAGTGTGACATAAAAAAATTGATACTTTGGACTTTAAATGGTTTTTATTTTTCTAGTCTTAGCCAAAATTACTATTTATATATTAGCAGTCAAATTTTTCAAAATTTGAAGATATTTTACAAATGCGCCATAATGAATATTTGTCAAAACTGCATTGAAAATTATAAACAAAATAATAGTAAAAATCTGTAAAGTATTTTATTTATTTATGTAATATAAATCATATCAGCCAATTTGCAAAGTACCCCGAATTTTTGTGACCCTAAATTTGTGAAGATCCAATCAAAACAATGAATTTTACATAATCAATCTTATTAATGACAAAGCGTCATATAAAACTTCTGGTAAGTCACATAATAATTTATCATGAAACTTTGTCAAGCAGTCGTCCTTAAGTTCAACTTTTCTGATCAAAAAAATTTTTTACCTGATCAAAAAATAGTGTAGACATAGTAATAGCTTATAACAACAATAAAAAACAGGTTTTATAGTATATACGGTATATAATAAATGTATGATTTGATTGGTCAATGCTCACATGTAAATCTAAATTTGGTGACCTAAATAAAAAGGCCCAAATGAATCAAATGAAAAAATATTGAAACGGTTGATCTAGGAATCATTAGCTTGTTCGTCTATTAAAAATGCTATTGAATTTGAAATAATAACAACTGAACTAGTATAATCTGAAGCGCAAAAATAGTGATATCGATATAAATTATCTCTAAGATATGCACATCGAAATCAAAAACTTATCGAATCGGCCAAATAATCATTCCCAAAATTAATGAAATTAATGGCGACTTTTTAAATTTTCTTAACGCCGCCGATCTTATAATTTTGGCCAAAAGATTAGCATTCGGCCCGGGAGAAACATTACGGTTTGACCAGAAATAGAAATTACTACAAAAATTAAATACTGTCACATTAAATTTGGTTACCATTCAATGATCATATTTTTTAAGATTCAAATTACTATTGAGGTAATAGTATTGTTGTTAAATAACGACAATTTTGTGTATTCACATTATTTTTTAAATATTGATATTAACAAAGTTAAATTATTAAATTTAATTTACAAAAATCTTGAAATTGCTTCATCAATGTCCATATCATCATTAGTTTTTTCAGTTGGTGTTCCCCATCCGCCACCCCCTGGCGTACAAATCACAACACGATCTCCCACGCCAACTTTAAAACTATTTTTACTACCTAAATTAAGTACTCGATCTCCCCCCTTAACGTTGCCTTTACGGATCCAAAGATTTAATCCCTTTGCACCATCTTTACCACCTTTTAATCCATATGGATGGAATACTCTTCGTTCTGTAAGTAAGCTTACTTGAAGCGGCTCACGAAATTCAAGATCACGGATTACTCCATTGCCACCTCTATGCAAACCCTTACCACCTGAACCTATATATACCATAATATATTGTTAAGAGTATAGATCGATAGTTATGTAAATTCTGTGAAATTTATAATGCATACCTCTACGAAGTGAAAATTCGCGTAACATAACAGCATGGTCTAGTCTTCGTTCGATTATCTCTGGATCTGTTATTCTTGTATTAGTCATATGCTAGAAAAATCATTGTTATTAAGACTAGTCAGATATGCCATATATAAACGAGTAAAAATAAATCAAACAGCACTAATTTTACATACTACATGTACACCAGACTGCCCATCCCAAGTTTCACCAGCACCGCTACCTATGAATCAAAACAGATGCATGATTCATATACGTTTTTTCATTAAAGGCAGAATTAACTATCACATACCTCCGGCAATTGTTTCATAATATCCCCATCCATCAATCATTTTTCCATCAACTACTTTCCCATCTTTCCCAAATGTCAAATTATTACAATCTCCTTGGCTTGCGGCACATGCTTGGAATGCCTTGAGAATAACATCAACAAGGCGCTGTGAAGTTAGTACATTACCACCAACAACAGCTGCTTGGTCAGATGGGTTTAGCATAGAATTTGGAGGGATTTTAATATCTATTGGAGTGAGACAACCTTGATTTAATGGAATATTCTCATCCACAAGACAGCGGAGGCAATATATAATCGCGCTGAAAGTGACCTAAGATGGCAAAATAATTGTATAATTATACGATGAGTTTGAGGCAAGAAATTGCGAAATATTACAACATACTGAAGGCGGTGCATTGGTATTGGCTGAAATTAATAGGCAAGCAGATAGAATAATATATATATGTTAATTTTTTAATTTTTTTTTTTTTCAGAGAAAAGAGAAAGTCATGTATTCCTACCATAAACTTCAGGTCCAGTGCCAGTAAAATCAAATATAGCCGACCCATCCTTTTCATCAATCGTTATCTGTAATTCAATAGGAGTTCCATCATCCATGTAATCGACTGCTTTTAAAATATTTTGCCCTAATTGGTGATGTATTTTTTTCAAGAAATTTCTGACCGATAATTCGGCGTTTCGCCTAATATATACCATATAAGCTTGAACTACATCTAAACCATACTCTTGGATTAATGCTTTCACGAGGCCAATGCCTTTGTGATTTGCAGCTACTTGAGCTTTAATATCTGCAATGTTATCACGAAGACATCTTGTCCCAGAACATTTTGGATATCGAGCGGGTTCGTGCAATAATATATTAGTAAGACCATCAATATCAAATTTTCCTTTCGAAACGAGTTTAAATGATTTTATAGCAGCTCCTTCTTCAAATAATTCCTTTGAATGCGGTGGCATAGAGCCTATATATTGAGAAACAACGCGTCTTAGATAATTTGAATTTGAAATTTTGTAATAGGATTTGATAAATAATTTCATACCAGGTAAAATACCGCCGATGTCCGCATGGTGACCTCTTGACGCAACAAAGAATACGACTTTTCCTTCATTGAATACTGGAGTTATTACAGTAATATCTACAAATAAGAAATAACAAGTCAAGTCAATCGTCATTTATAAAATAATAATAATAATATAATAAGTTGGGGTCAATAATTGCCTGGTAAATGTGATCCACCAGCTTGCGGGTGATTGGTCATAATTACATCACCGTCTTCCAATGTATCTTTGTAATACTCTATTTGATACTTAACCGTATGACTTAAGCTTCCCAAATGAACGGGGATGTGTGGAGCTGAGAAGAAAATATCAGTGTAAATATCAAAAGAAAATCACTTATGCTTCTCATAAATAGACATAAAGTTAGGCATACCATTGGCGACCAATCCTCCATCAGCCCCAAAAAGAGCACAAGAAAAATCCAACCTCTCTTTAATATTTGTTGAAATTGCTGTCTTTTGTAAAGCATTTCCCATTTGCTCAGCGATGCTCATGAATCGATGGCCAAATATAGATAATTGAATCGGATCAGATTCAGTAGTTACTTTTGATTTGGTGTCATCCCCAACAGTAATAAAAACATGCGAAGTCGTAATCAAGGCATTGCATGTTGGTGCAACGAGAATTGTTGAGGTCGAGTCAATAATCATTGCTGGTCCAGCGATTGTATTTCCAATTTTAAGTTTCTCTAAAAGATAAAGAGGAGTTTCTATACGTCCATTTTCGAAATAAACGAGAGCCGTACTATCACACTGGTCTTCTAAGACCGGTATAGGACTAATACTTTTTATTTCATCAAATATATCATGTTTAGTAATTTCAAAGCCTTTGCCAATACCACGGATCCTTATATCATCTACCAAGATTTTTCGATCCGGAAAATGGAAACCGAATTCTTGCTTATATTGTAAAGCAAAAGTTTGAGCGAAGTCCCAAGAATCCTCGGGTTTTAAAGTCATAATTGCAAAATCAGTTCCTTGGTATCGTAAATTAAGATAAATATGATGTTGAATACGCGATTCATCAAATCCTTGCGACTTAAGCTCTTTTGTGCATGCATCACAAAGAGCATTAATTCTTTCCATTAAATACGGCAGCGAGTCATCTGAATAAGTTTTCGAACAAGGCTCGAGAACTTCATGAACAACATCAGCCAACGCTAAACCGTATGCGGACAATATCGAACTATGTCTATGAATTAGAATTTTCTTGATACCCAAATTTTGTGCGATTGCACATGCATGTTGACCACCAGCACCACCAAAACTTGCAAGAATATGTTTTGAAGTATCGTAACCTTTTGCTTCAGTTAAAGCACGAATGGGACGACACATTGCTTCGTTGGCAACTTTAATAAATCTAGTTATTTTAAAAAATAAAGATTTTTAAACTTATCTGACAAAACTTATTTAAATTATATTTTAAATTTACCCATATGCTATCTCGTCCAAACTCATTTTTTTATCATTTCCTACAAAAGCGTTAATCTCTTCAGCGAGCGATTGAAATTTCAGACGAGTAGCCTCCACATCTAACGGTTGATCCTCGGAAGGGCCAAATATTTTTGGGAAATAATCAATGTTTAGCCGGCCTAGTAATAGGTTTGCGTCAGTTATAGTCAAAGGGCCTCTTTTTCTGTATAAAAAGTATATATCATCCGTTAATGTTAGTACATATAAATTTAATCTTCTAATGTAATGTACAAATATTCACACACCTATAACATGTAGGTCCCGGTTGTGCACCGGCGCTCTAAAAAAAAAATAAATAAATTTGATATATACTAAAGTTATTCATAAACGTATTCTGAGGCTCGATCAGATCATCGAATCGAACCGAACAATTTGAGCCATGTTCAACCTATGTTCTCAATTGCTATACTTTAATTATGCAAATGAACATACCTCTGGTCCAACAACAAACATTCCATTACGAAAGAACAACTGCGAACCACCACCGGCAGCAACCTGCAATAAAATTTCGTATAAATTTGTATATTTCGCAATGCAAAAAAAAAAAAAAAGAATAATAATATATATATAAATATATAAAATAGACTTTACTGTATTTATATCAAGTTGAGGCGCTTGGATGGTTATTCCCGCAGTAGTAGTTTCGAATACATGTTCAAATAGACCAGCAAATCGAGACACATCTAAATTTGAAATGGTGATATAATACTTTCGAAAAAAGAGACCAATTTATTACCTTAATACAAGTATAAAACACAAACCTGTACTGGTACCTCCCATATCAAAACCGATTACCGGGTCGGGCTCACTCTTACTATACGATGTTAACGCGTAGCCTGACCATCAAGTCACAATTAATCAACAAGCAAGTGCATCAAAACTTGACAACATTTATGGAAATTGTGGAATAGGGTACTAACCAACAACACCACCAGCAGGTCCTGACAGTATGGCCCTAAACCCAGAGAATTTATTAACTGGTACAAGGCCACCATCGCTTTGCATAAATTCTAGTCTTGCATTTTTTTCCAAATTTTCATCGAATCCCGAAACGAATCCGTCAACGTATTTACGAATACATGGTGTTAGGTATGCATCGGCTGTTGAAGATGTACCACGAGGTACAATTTTAATCATTGGTATTATAGCGGAAGAAAGGGATATATGTGTAAATCCGATTGTAGACGCGATTGAACCCACTAAACGTTCATGATCTTTTTTTTTTCGTAGTATTAATTGAATAATAAAAAGTTTAGCTATTACATATTTTGATCTTTAAGTAGAAAATAATAAATTTTGTGCTCACCTGAAAATGTGTATGAATGCATTAGGCAAATCGCGATGCTTCGAAATCCTTCATCATATAAAGATTGTAGATCGTTTTTTATCTTGTTGGTATCTAAATTGGATAAATAGAATAATGATATGCTTGGTGCTTGAATACGAAATCAAGTATAAATCAAGTATAAGATTATGTACCTGGTTTTTGAAGTATCTTTACATATTCTCCAGAAATGCCTCTAATTATATCAGCGCTACCATTCGCTAGTTCATTTGGAGGATTTGATTCATCTCCAACCAACATTACACTATTTACAATAAAAGTCATTTATCAACACGAAACACGTCGACGCAATAATGTATTAATGGATATTAAAACATAAAATTCAAATGGATGACAATACCGCTCATCTATTTCCACAACTCGTTGATACAAAACGTCATGTTTGCGAATGGAAAGATCAAATATTTTGGGACGAGCCTGATTTCCTGTTTATTTCGATAATAAATTTAACAAATTCATCGATAAGAAAGCGTCATTCAAATAATATAATTCTTAATAAATACCAATCAATAATAAATCCTGATTAAAAGTAACAATATTTTAGCACTTTAAGACGATCGATAAAAAATCTGTATATTTTCTTAAATCAAGAAATCATACCTTAAAGCCTTTGGTAATCAGTAGTGCACATTTCTCTCCTTTTCTTTCTAATAGAGCATTAGTAGCAACGGTCGTTCCCATTCGAATTGACTCTAAAAACAAGAAATTTAAGCCAGTTTATAATTCAGTTCGTTATATTTACAATTAAATTTTTCAGACAGATATAAAGAATTTGCAAGCTTTTTTTTATACGAAACCTATAAGAGAAGTGTCCACTGGTTTATTTCTCGGGTGAGGCTTTTCAGTAGCAATTTCTAATATTCTTCTAATTCCTTCACGAGGAGCGTCAGGGTAATTTTGAGGATCAACACTCAAAAGTTTTACTACAATTTCGCGTCTTCCTGTTGGGTATTCTTTGGAAATTGGAACAGGGACCATGCCAATACAATCGGTAAATGTACCACCCCTATCGATACTTATTCTTATTCCTGGATCTCGTCTTGTTGACATGATTAAGATATATTTTGTAAAATTAGTCTTTTTAAAAAAGTGTTAAATTTAAAAATTGTGAAGTTTCTTCAAGATCTACCTGCATATTTATCTTAAAACATGAAATCCAAAAAAGGAAATTATTTATTGTTCGACCTTTACCGTATTAAAGTTTGTACGATGTAACCGTTTTCATTTTATAAAAATTCAGCTTTTCTCGAAATGCAACATGCAACAGTAAACAAAAAAAAAAAAAATTCATTTTAATTCCTAAATAGTTAATTTTATAATATATAGATAGATAAATAGATAAAATATATAAAATAGATTTCTTTTATTGAAGTTGAGATATCAAATTTTTCAGATGTACAGAAATTTACATAATAAAAAATGGCGATAATGAATAAAACAAACTATACATAAAGATTAAAAAAAAAGAATCATCCACTGATTTACATGATACAATGCATACATAAAGGGCAAATAAATAAAGAAAAAAAAAATCATTCATTGATTTTTTTACATGACATAATGTATACATAATGAGAAATTATTCAACATGATATTGCGCAATAAAATCGAAATTCTTTCCATTCGACGAAAATACCAATTTCCAATCACCCCTTTGATCAACTGTCGTTTCAGTTTCATAGGTAACACTTCCATCCTCACATCTTGATGCTTTTTGAAGTTTTCGGAGACTTTTATCTGGAGTTATTAAGGAGAATTCGGGATGTTCGCTCTCCTTTAAATCCAATACTGAAAATTCAAATTTATAGTTTTTATTGAATTTTAGGTTTGAATGAATTGGTGATTGGATGGTAAATTTGAATGGGACCCTGTAGGTTTTGACAAATGGACTATAATTTTTGCCGCTTCCTTTGTTTATGATCTTGAAGCTTGCAGCTAATGGACCCTATAAATGGAATATGAATGAAGATAAATTAAGAATACGAATCAAGATAAAATTGTACTAATTTTAACAAAAAGAGAAATTAACAAAAAAGAAAAATTAGCTTACCTTGTTACCTTCAAACATCACATATAGTTCAAGTTTTCCTTCACCACGACTTGGGCACATAGCCTGCAGTCTATAGACGTGTCCTGCACTTGAATCATACCCAATCACCCTTTGAACTAAGACTTCATGCTCTTTACCATTCCATCCAAGCACAGCATGTAATGGTTGTCCTTCATCAACATGATATCTTGCAATTTCCAAATCAATCAAGTCATCTTGGACAGTAATAGTATCTCCAAGGAGTTCACGGAATTCCAAACCAGCAGCAAAGTATGGTGGTTTAACATGAGTTAAATTAAGGAAATCATCTGTAGTAAGTTGAGGTGATATGTATTGTTCTTTTGGATCATCAGGCAAATGAGTATATATGAAATAGGTTGGACGTGTAAGGAAATAAAATGGTTCAAAGCGTCTTTCAAATTTTTGGCCACTTAGATGTCCAGAACCCCAAGTACTGTCGACAATGAGGTATTCTCCTTTATATGCAACACCATTCCACGCGTGAGCAAATTTCTTACTATTAATATCATCGCCAGGGTTAAAGTGGTGGCCTGGTTGGTCGTATCATGTGATTAGATAGTGGAGATAAAAAAGACCCAAAAGTAATATTAAAACAAACCTTTTGCTTTGCCAGTAATCTTCCAAGTCTTCAATCCAGCATGATTAGCTAAACCATTGAATAATTCAGCATATCCATCACAAACACCTTTACGCGATTTCAAGGTATCCTCGGCATCATGATGACGGATGTTACCTATTAGGATTTTTTTTTTTTTTTAAATAAAAATATATTATATTTTTAATACATGACATTTATCAAGAAAATTTACTGTACCTGAAAAGAAAGCATCGGTATCATATGAAATGTTATCCGCAATCCAAACAAAAATTGCACGTAATTTATCTATAGGATCGTTCCAACGTGAAGTAAGATGCTTGGACAAACGTTCTACCGAACTAGTTTCGGATGCGGGAGTGGCACGTGCGTAGGAGTCCACCTTTGAAAAGTCACGGCCTACATAGAGGTACAGGGTACAACAATAGAAGTTACGCAAGTTTGATCGGCAATGCAGGGGAATTAATTTCACATCAATTTTATTTTAATTAATCATTAATCGGTAGATAAAGTAATCTAACATCAATAATTACCGATAAGGTCAAGATGTTCTTTGAATTCCCCTCCTATAATAACAGCCGCGCATTTACTAAATTGTAAAAAAATGTTAATAGGAGACAACCAAAAAATAGAGAAAAAATTTAGAATCAATACAAACTTTGCCGGATCTCGTCTACCAGGGTGGTTTTCATCTTCATCGACACCCGACTTCTCGTGCTTCTCGTGTTTTGTGGCGGAAGGAGTAGGGGGATATTGAGATTTGAGTGGTTCTTCTCCAGGCTTCTTGACAGGAGGAGAAAGTTTAGCTTCTTCGGTATGTTTTGCGGGAGCAATTTTAGCTTTGTTAGATTCTTCTGTATGCTTTACGGGCTGAGATGGGGAATCTTCGGTAAAAGATTTGGTAAGTACTCAGAATTAAATAAGAAACAAAGAAAAAAAAAACAGCATACCATTTTCCATAACACTTCTTGTGGTCTGAGTATTTTTGGTAGTATTTTGTGTGTCATTATTAGCATCATTATTATTGTTATTATTCAACGATAAGCGCCTCGAAAGGTCGGCAAAGGAGTTAGTAAAAAAGTCACCCCAATTATTAGACATTATTTTTTTGTTTTTTATTTAAGATTAAAAAAAATCGATATAAATATATTTTTTTAGTTTTATTTTTTAAGAGATGCTGAAATATGTCAAAATTTTTTGATTCCTAAACTCGAAGCCCGCTTTTTATATTATTTTGATTCCTAGAAACTAGGAAGATGTTAATACTGTATTAACTGTAAATGGTACAAAATCAGCCAAATTCAAATTTTTAGGTGTTTTATTTTAACGTTCCTTTTTAAGTAAGACTCGCAGCCATGATGATAACTAGAGCTTTCCTGATTTGACAAAATTCGGTACTTGGGCTTTTAAGCAGCATCCAGATTGGATAATTACACATTAGACAATTGATTCCTTTGTTGTCGTCGATTATTGCGGAAGGTCATTAATTGCAGAAGCATTTATTGAAGGGCCTATACCTGTTCCCTAAATTCCCACCTATTCTATGCATAAATCTTCAAAGAAACTGCTTTAAACATAAACAACGAGAGTTTTAAGCTTTAACTAAAATAGTTCTTTTTATCCCCAGCGTAAGATATGCAGTGACCCGTTAATTTTTAGGATTTCTGCTTGTTTAAACATGCACATAATTATTTAATGCATATACACAGAAATTACGGAATTATTATATATACTATATATACTATATATACTATATATATAATTCAAAATACAAGTATACTTTGGTGGGAATAATTCTTTAGCAAAAATATTCTACGTACGTACGTATAAAATTTATTATATATACACAATCTAAATAAGATTCATAATCGCTCAAATAATTATGCTTATTTAATCATGATAAAAAGTTTCCGTCAAAATGTAACAAAATGTAACAAACAATTTTTGTCGCTTATGTCATGAGAAGTATACAATGTCTTTAAAAAGTAAAATTTGTGACCGAAGATTACAATTTAAGCTCTATCAGAACGCCTCTCAACAATTTGTAATCTTTCACACATTTTTTTTGTTAAGATTAAAATTTCATGTTACATCGATCCACCAAATCACGTACCATCCTGAGAAAGGTTCAAATGCACATAGAAACTTCTGCAAGACGATATCTCTCACAGTTATTCGAATACGTGTTTTCTGTAGCATTGTGATCCTGGTTGATCAAATTTTATAAATTATAAATTAGATGATACACGCTCATATTTGAGCGTATTTTATCTACTGGATACAGTACCTGGTTTTTAGTTTTAAATTGAACCGGGTACATAAAGTTTCCTACAGAATTAAATCAAGTTAGGCCAGCATTGATAGCATAGACATTTTGGGTCTGCCTCGATATCCCCAGAAAAATTGACCTTTACAAAACTACATTTAGAGAATGACTGCATATGTATATAATCATCTGACTTCTTAATCACAAGGTCTTTTCTATCCTAGTTTTAGCAAATTTAGAATTATGTAATTATTTTTCCATTTAGGGGTGCATCACTTATTACGGCTCAATTGCTTTATTTTATAAGCCGGTTGATGTAATTTTTTATATGTAACGTAACTAAGTGTGGTGATGTCATAAGTCTACGCTACGCAATTTAATGAGCTTATATTTACAGCATTACAAGAAATAAAGTTTCAATTAAAATTGCTAAACGAAATGGCAAAAAACCATTTTACCAAAATTGTTAGCATTGGATAACGGTAATGTTAAATATAGTATCAATATATATTATATATTGTCTAATCGGTTTCCGTTTATTTGTTATTGCAACATTAGGTGTAATGTGACGATATCTTGGACTCTGATTTGTCAAGTGTTGACGTTATTGGCTTTTGAAATATGCAGAAATATGCAGAAATATGTCGCGTTAGAGTGTCCATGATGCGAATATTGCCAAATTATGCATTGTAAATTATGCAAAATTATGCGGATTTTTTACTTAAATTATATAGCGCTATAAATAAAAATTCACATGTTTTTTTGATCATAAAATTTTAGTTTTGCCGTGCAATTCTTTAATATATATGTTGTAAGTGGAAACGGAATTTAAGTGGATTCGGAATTTATATAAAATACTCCATTTTCGGGGTTGATTTTATACGGAATTTAAGTGGATTCGGAATTTATATAAAATACTCCATTTTCGGGGTTGATTTTATACGGAATTTATATAAAATACTCCATTTTCGGGGTTGATTTTATCATATGTACACCCTAACCCTAACTAGAAAATTCCAAATCCACTTACAGTATTCCATTTCCACTTACGACATATATATTATAATTTCACACCGTATCTAAATATATGTGTACATAGTTTAGACTGCTTATCGTTAATTTGATTAAACCAGTATGCATTTTGAACTTAGATACTTAGATTCGAAGAGAAAATTAGATTATCTCATTATCAAAGTAATTGTGATTGGTTATTATTTTTATGCTGTATATTCGATCTAAGTTTGGATGTCAATATAGTACACACGTATTATTAGGGTGTCTAATACATATTTAATTACAAATAGTGCAGATGTATAGTGAAAATCATTAATCAAATTTTTTTATAATTAGAGTGTTCTTTTTAAAGTAACACGGAGGACCCAAATTTTCATGCAAAATGATCGTTTTTTGATGATTTTTTAACAAAAATATCAAAAACGTAATTTTTGTCGATCACCATTGTACAATATAATACGAGTAGACAAAAATATTTTAAAGTTACATTTTTGGTTTTTTTTATTAAAAAAACATCAAAAACGACCATTTTGTATGAAAATTAAGTCTCCGCTATGCTTCAACAATAAAAATTGAAAAATTAAAAAAATAAGCGTTGTTACTTTAAAGAGTACACTAAAAAAACCCGACAAATATAATTTCATATGTGTGTGTTCGCTTGTTCAAGAGTTATTGCAATCTAAATTTTATATGTTTTTGCTACCACTACGCCACTATAAAAAATTGATTAATGATTATCACTGTATGACCTGCACTATTAGATATGCATTAGAACCCCAACATATTATGTGGGTTATGCAAAATTAATATGCGATTCAAATGCATCATAATCCTAAACACCCTACTAATTGGGGTAAAATCCAATAGTGCAGATTTTTGCATAGATTGACAAAATCATTAAATTCACTAGCGAAGACTGGTATCCAAAAATTGATTCATCTCACGTACAAACTACATTTTTCCAAGAATTTTTGCATTAATTGATTGATATACTATAACAAAAAGAAGTTACAGTTTAGGATTTTTAATTATTTAAATATTTTTAAAGATTAAACTAGTAAGAACTTCCTGTGATATATATTCAAGCTAAGAATTTACTTTGTAAATTTTAAACTATGAATCAATTTTTAGAATACTAGACACCACTAATAAATTTAACGATTTTACCGATCTATGCACTACTAGATTTTATCTGATATAATTTTGATAAATTAGTTAAATTAGTATATCGGAGCCCTACTATTAATAGACAATAATAGAATTTATCAAAATATTGTCAATAAATATTCAAAACTTTAGAATTATCGAAATAATGTTTCATTATTCGATCATCTACCTGGATTTGATTTTGGTCTAGCGATAGTAACTTCTACAGCTTAAACCATAACTAACTAAAGCTTGTATCATAACTAGTTACAGTAAGCAGTAACAAATTGATAATTATGTCAGTTTTTTGGGTGATTTTGTTACAAAAATCATTATCCCTTAAGCCGTCAATTTAACTTTAGATCTACTACGATATAGACTACAATCCAATATAATTTGATAGCTTAATCACAGATCAATCAAGGCAGATTTGCCTGGAAAACGGTTTAAGGGATAATTATAATTTTATGACATCGATATTAATTAAAAATACGAAATTGATAAATAAAATGATACTTTATGATATCATGACATTTGGAACTTTATTATGATAAAATCCCAAACCAGTTTTTTGATTAAGTACATGACGAAACTATCAGGTTTGGATTACATACTAGTGATGTCCACTTCACGGTGGTGATACAAATCGAAATTGATCAAGTTAGCAATGAATCAATCCAAACTTTTAAACTATATAATTAGTAAATGATTACATACTTATGAAAGAATTCTTTAACCAATTAAATTAATTAGCTGCGATACGAATCAAACATGTGGTTCTAAAGTTAATCATTAAAAACATGTGACAACTAGACATAATTAATTACAAAAGCTAGATTATTACTTCATGGATAGTAACTAATTTATAGTTTTTTTTAGTAGGGAAGTGGGTGTTAAAATAACATGCTAATAAATTGCATGTATATATACAGTATTTATATATAATTACTATATAATTATTTGAAAAATATAAAAAATTCTACAGTATTATTTACAAAAAATTAGCTGATAAATAATATTTCTTTATTTTATTTAGCAATTTTAATAATTTAAAAAACTATTATATTATTAAAAAATATTGTATATACTGTATATACAGTAAATATTGTATACGTATAGAATTTAAAAAAAAATTAATAAGTTACGGTTGTTTTGATAATATATATGTAGTATACTTTTGCTAATTATTTAAATCTATAATTTTTTTAAACTTTGATTAGATATTTTAATATCTATCTAATCAAATTTAATAAACATTTTTTTCAAATTTTACTAATTTTTATACAGTACTAACCCTAACTCTAATTTAACTCTAATTTAACTCTAATTTAACTATAATTTAACTATAATTTAACTCTAATTTAAACTATAACCTTTAACTATTTATAATAATTTTATATTGCCTAACTATACTAAAGATCAATCATTATGAATATATTAATAAATTTTAACTTTAAACTAATTTAAAAGTTTTAAATTTTTTTAAAGAAATTGATATTTTTATACTTTTTTTGGTTAATCTTTAGTATAGCTAGGCAATATAAAATTATTATTATAAGATTATAATTATAATATATAAAAATAACTATTTAAACTAATTTAAGCAATTTATAAATAGTTAAAGTCAGGGTGAAGGTTATAGTTTAAATTAGAGTTAGATTAGAGTTAGGGTTAGATTATAATTTTATAATATTTCTATATTGCCTAGCTATACTAAAGGAGATCTTTTATTTTTATACAATTTTTAAAATTTTATTAAACAATATTTTCTATTTTTTAAGCTAAAGTAAAAATGCCACACATACTAGTTTTATTATCTTGTAAAAAACAGTACCTCAAAAATTATCTAAATAATGTTAATTATAAAATACTATAGTTTTATAATCCGTAAAAAAAGGTTCTTGCATATATATGACAACTATAAAAAATCCTTATAAACATCATGTTTAGATATCTTTTATAATATAATATCACGATACTGATTTTTGAAAAATAAAAGTTTGGATCAAATAGCATATCTATCTTACAGCTATCTTACAGCTATTGTATAAATATATGTCTTTGTTTAAATTATTTCGAGTACGTATGCAACATTGCAGCTATTGAATGTGACATGTTACTCGAGCTTTTGGAAGTATTGGGATAAAAGTTTTCATGAAAAAAAAAAATTTTTTTATGCTCTATTTTCGTCCAATTATTTAAGCTGGCAAATTCGTCTGCTAAATTGGATGGTTTAAAGGATAATAATGTCTACAGTATTTAGAAATAAAGTAGAGAGTTTAATTATTTGTTACAGTTTTATTCAAATTATATTACTGTATTTTCTACACAATTACAACCTAATAACATATTATACCATTTTGTCTATTTCTAAATAAACAAATAATAAAACCGATATATTTATTCTACTACATAGCCACAGCCATAAACTCTTCCTCCTCCTCCTCCTCCTCCTCCTCCTCTTCTTCATCATCATCCACATTTTCTATCTGAATTTCTACGCGGTATTTTTCAATGTTACTAGTACTATTTGTGGAATTGGTGTAATTTTCAATATGCTGAACAGGATCCGTATAACAAGAATTACTAAGATCAAATTTAGAATTTTTCACATTATTATTTTCAATATACCTAATATTATTATTTATTATTTCCGGACCTTCAGCATCACCTTTTTCATTATTAACAGTAACTAATTGATTCATATCTCCAAAGTCAAGTTTACTAGATCTCATTGATTTACGTATAGAGGGATTCATTTCGTATACTATTTTTTCTAGATCATCTCTCATGGCTGGTGGACTGTTACCACTTGTTTGTGGCATTATAGAAGGTATCATCTTCCACTGTAAGTATAAACCTATAGCACTATTTAAAAAAAGAATGATCAAGTTTAAATTTACGAAAAGAAATTTCATTAAAAGAAGGAATGATATAGTAAATGACGTTGTATAGTAAGAAAGAATAAAACTTACGCCAATACAAAAACACCACCCAACAAACCATAAACTTTTCCATTAATACTATATTTCAATATATTAGAATATTCTTGATTTAAATCTAGATAAATAATTAGAGCAGTTGTAAATCCGGATCTTAATATTTGATCGACACCTAGAATTATTGCATATGAGCCACAAAATGCTGATGATAGGCACTTTGAAGAAAGAACGGACCGTAAGGGAAATGAAAAGAAAGGTAACAGAAAGTGAAAGAAAGTTAAAAGATAATTTACCAAAGGCCAAATTCTTTTGGTTGGACAGTAAGTATACATGATCATTAGGCCAATAAAACCGCTTATTGCCAAATAGATAAGGCGGTATAGGTATGATGCGAAAAGTCCATTGTCTATGAGGATAATAACAGTAAGGACGAAAACTTATAAACAAGTACGAACTTAGAATTTTAATGAGACATGAAACGTACCTTTAACAGATAATGTAGTAAGGCCAAATGCACATCCTCCCAATACTAAAAGAATAAATGAATCGGACTGACACTTAGACTATGTGAAAAAATCCATTTAGGGAAATAAAGTTTTTTTATACTTACTTCCAACAAAGAAAACACCCACTTTATTGAAATATAAAAATAGCATAGCACCTAGAGAACCGATAATAAAAGGAATCATCAAATTTCTATAATCACTATAACCCGGATCCGAATTAAGCATTTCTATCCATGCTAAACAACCTTTAGGATGATCACGTGATTACGAAAGGTAAATTTTAGACTGATAAAATGAAAAGAAAGAAAATCGGTATAATATAAAGAAAACGTACTTAAAGTATAGAAACCGACGATAGAACCAGCCATTCTAGTAAATTTGATATATGAGAAACCAATTAACGCTCCAGTGACAATAAGAATTGCGGCGAATAACCAATCGACTAATGTTAAAGCAGATGAGTAGGCTACGTAATTATTTAAAAATTAAATGGAAGATTATACTCAATAAATATTTAATTCTAATAACACTACGTAGTAAATGATAAAATACATATAACAGATCAAAATCAACAGTTGATCTGTTTACTTACTAGATTTGCTAACATTTGTAGTATTAACAGGGTTAGCGTTAACATTTGTATCAGTAGTATTGTCAGAATTAACGTTATCGGTAGCATCTTGAGCGTTAATTATCCATGGCCAAAAACAACAGATTGTCACTACACAAACCACAAATTCTAGGTTTGGAAACCTGCTTCGTCGAATTTTACGCATTCTCTTTATTATAAATTCTATGCAATGTTTAAATCTATTTTTTTTTTTTTTTTTTTTTTTATGTAGAGAGTAATGATTCAATGCTTTTTTTAAAATTATATATAATCAAGAGAAAAGAAAAAAAAAAATGTTGATACGAATAATGTTAAGTATAAATTTATATTTAATATAAAATAATTATCTATTAATCAAATTCTTTTCTCTCTTTGTATTTGCATTAGTAAATTTTGTATCATGCACTCCCGTTTAAAACCCTTGTAACTTCCTATATTCAAAAAACAACTGATAATATATATATTTTTTTTGAATACTTTTTTTTTTCTCTAAAAAAAAAGGACATAAAAAAGATGAAGTTGAGGAAAGGGTGAAAACTTTGGTGAATGCCTCAACGCACATATTTGTATAATTTCCATCATTGATTTGAATACAATAATAAAAAGTAACGTTCAAGATACAGGTATTTATGTATATTTATATGAAGTACGTACATTTTTGAGTGTTTTATAAAGTATTTAAAAATATTTGCATTAGGAAATTTTTTTTTTCAAAAGTTAATTGCTTAATTTTCTATTATGTAATAAGATTATAAACGAATTAAATTAAATTAATATGCTTTAATATACTATCATAGTTGTACATAGGCAAGATGACTCTATTCTATTAAGTTTCAGGAATTTGGGCTTTGCGCAGTGTGACGGATAAAAAACGAATTATATTCGATGAAATGGTGAAATGCATCGGGTTGAATTGATGAAAAAAATTAAGAGTATTTCGTTACGAAAGAGCAAGTGTACAGTATGGTGTAACAAATAATTTAAAGAGAAAAATTTTGATTGGAGTATATTGAAATTCTAATACAAATAAATAATTTATTATATATATTTTATTACTTTCTTTAGCTCATAATGAATGTATACTGTATATATAGGTATATATATTATTTTTTAGAACCAATTACCTTTTAATTTGTTATATAGATCGATCGATCTTTACAAGAATAAAAGGATATATATATAACTATGAACAATGTTCATTTAAAAAATTTTTAACATATGGAGACGTCCATAGCTAAAGAAGGGGATGAAACTAATATTACATAGTTCCATCCCTTCTTTTGTCCCATATATGAATTTTTATAGCTTTTACTCTCAAAACTTGGGATAAAATTAGATTTAAGACTAACTAGAGATTGCATTTTAAGCTTTATTTGGTTTATTCTGTAAATTAGTAGGCGTTCAGTTATGTTTTAATTTTGTATACGAAGTTGTTGGTTTTCAGAAACAGCTTATAAGAGTTTGATATCGTCTGTTCTAAAAGCGGAGTTTCCGAAAATTAAGAATTATAAGCTTTCCTTTGACAGCACTCATATTGAAAAAAAATTTAAACCACAATCTTGATCAACATCAAACAAAGGTTATAGAACAATGAACTTTGAAACACCGAATCTTGTTGATAAGATCTTAAGAATAATAATTAGCTTAAATTAATTTTTTTTAAAAAAAATCTATACAATAAAAATACTGTACGGTAATTAATGGTGATACGTATTAACTAAATATTTAAAAAACATAAATTTTTTATTGTTTATTGCAAATATATAAAGTTTATTAGTTTATATTTTGATACTTGGACGCAGATGAAGAAACATCGAATGCCATTGGGAATGTATGGACTTTTGTTAAGATGGCTGATTTCCAACGCGGAAAACAAAACTGACTCTAAAAGCAAGGTACTTTAAAGTTGGTTTTCGGACTATCCTAAAATGAAAAGATTTGTTTTTGGATATCCTATTCCTAAATTGTCCCAAATTATCCCAAATTATCCTATATTTTTACTAACGTGTAAGTACTAACGATTGACATAATACACTTTGGAACACGCTTCGCTTCAAGCTGCAGATCCACAACGTAGTTTATTATATTAATGAGTAAACGTAAATTGGTAACAGTAAAGCAAGTCATGTTATATTTCAGTCATCGATGATTATGGAATAATAATGGTTTCGAATATTATCAAAATCTGGTAGTAGTTTAATTTTAAACTTTAACAAAGATAACATAATTGATAATCATCTAACTATCGCTATAATTTGATTTAGAATCAAATTTAGGTAGGTACTGTGTGAAGAGCCAGTTATTGTATTTGAGGGATATATTATATTAAAATTAGTAAATCAATATGCGTAGTTATATTCCCATCTTATAAGAAACAGTTGGTGAGTAATACCCAAATCTTAAGCGGTGGACAATGATAACCGAATCCATTGATCTCTGATTCGTCGCACCCCATAGTCTACCGATTCAAATGTTTGCTACAATATCGATATTAAATAATTTTTATTGAGTTTACATGTTTTTTAGCGTTCATTACAACATGTAGGGCGATCGAAAATTGTTTATTGTGATAAACAATACACAAAAGGATCCAGTGCTCACATAAAATACGTGTATTTATCACTAAAAATAATAAATAATAGAATAATATTATAAGTATCAGTATAGATTCTTTATAATAAGGAGAGTGCATAACCGTTTCCATTTCCAAACGGTAGTCCTTATTAAAAGAACCTACCTTTGTGCATAGTTCGAATCCCTACAAAAGCTACAGCGCAATCTTGCAGTAATCACCTAGGTGATCTCACTTAGACAACCCAAAAAGGCTGTCTAGTGGGCTAAGTATTGATGCTTCGGTATTCGAAATTTGCAATACCACCTTTACCAAATAGCTTAGGTGATCTCAAAGATAACTCGAAAGGTTAACAACTATTCAAAAAAATATATATATACGTAAAAGTTTAAGGAGTTTACTAAGACCTATGTACAAAAAACTGGCTAATTAATCGGCATGAAGTATTCTATGATTTGAACCGGTAATAAAATTCCTAATCGGTTAACCGAATTAACTTACCCGAATACAAACGGCTCAACCGTATTATTTCGATTAGACCAGTTGACCCGGACCAACCGAATTAGCCGGGCGGGTTAACCAAGCTAATTGGATCAACAAAGTTAATCTGATTAAAGGCCTCAATTATAGGTTTATGACCACTCTTTTATTTGCGAATTTTTGATTACCTTTTTGTGTATTGAACAAATAAAATCTATACATATCTCTTAAATATTACAGTCGGCAGAAAAAAATACATGCCACAAAGATAGATTCCGGGTCAACCGATTACCGATTAATCGATTATACAAGTTCACCGAATTTTTTCGGTTCGGTTCGGTTACCCGATTATGGCCTAATCGGTTCAAATCACTAATTCCAAAGTAAAAATGTTCTATGCCCTAAAAAACCCTTCCCAAACCCTAGCGCTAACCCTAACACTAACCTTAACGTGAAAAAAGTTGTATTAAAAATTTTATATACAAAACTTAGTACAAAGATAAGAAAATATATTAGGTGTAAAACATCATAGGTGTGTTTTATAACAGATAATAATTTTTATAACAGATAATAATTGAAGTTTAAAGTATTGCAAAGTGAAAAATCAATAAGTATTTTATGAAAGTGCAGTGCGAAGTAAAAAAAAAATAAAAATACAGAAATAATACTGTAGATTCAAAATAAAATTCCAGCTTACAGCTGATTTGAAAGTTAGTGGGACACTTGAAAAAATTTGCTCGTTTTCTGAAACCTTTCGAACTTGTCTTATGAATCATCTAACTCTTCGGAAATCACGTCATTATCTTCGTAACTTCGATTCGAAAATAGTGATGTGATTTCCGAAGAGTTAGATGATTCGTAAGGCGAATCTGAAAGGTTTTGGAAAACAAGCAAATTTTTCAAGTGTTCCACTAATTTTCAAACCAGCTGTAATACGTGTTTTGTGGTTATTCGGACTCAATCCGGGGGCTAAAGTCGTAATTATAAATTTTAAGTACCCTAGCGATCGGTATAATAGAAAATAGTAGTATAAAGATCGAAATCTTTCGGAAGCTTTCTTATGGAAACTTTCAGAAACGATTTAATTGGCTAAACTAATTACCATTGGTATTATACCTATACTCAATGTGTATAATACTGGTATTATACCATATAGTATTATAATACAATACTAATCTCTCATAGAACGACATTTATTAATTTTTGTAGATCTACCCATGATTTCCTGTGATAATTAGCCAATCAAAATGCATAATTTTTAAGAGTTTAATACTACTAGAAAAAAAAAATACAAATTAATAAATGCACACAAAAAAGAATGTTACATTTTAAAAATGGATGAATAACATGTAAATTGATATTATTACTACAGTGCCTGACAAATGTTTCCCCGCACCTATATCTCCTCATGGAGAGGTGCTACAGCCTTGAAACTTTTCCAAAAATTAGTACATACATAGTTTAGATTGTGTGCATTTTTTGAAGATTTTTTAATCACTAAAAAAAAATTTACATGAGAGCTGAAGTTGGAATGCTTTTTTTTAAAAAAATAAAAAATTAATTAAATTTAAAAAAAAATTAATATATCATTAAGGCTTAAAGCTAAAAATTCAAAAAAATTAGTTTATTAAAATTTAATGATTTCTGTAGTAGTGATAAAAAATTTAGCTTGATTTGATGAAATAGTTATTGAAAAATTAATTTTTAAATTTTGATTTTTATTTTTAAAAATTACAAAGTAAAAGTTTTTTCAATCAAAACTATCTCGATATCTAGTGATCCAAATTTAATGATTTTGATATCATTCGAATTATCACGTCAAGACAATTCGAATGATACCAAAATCATCAAATTTGGACTGTTGAAACGTGAGATATTCATGAAAACATTTTGCAATGCAAAAATAGTTAGACATCGACAAATCAAACGTGATAAAAATAAAACTCAAAACTTTAATAACTAATTTCTCAATAACTATCTCACCAAATCGAGTCAAATTTTTGTCACTACTACATAAATAATTGAATTTTAATATAGAAATTTTTAAAATTTTTAGCTTTTATCCTTGGCGATATATTAAATTTTCTTTGAATTCAATTATTTTTTTAAATTTT